ATGAACAGCAATCTGTTAGGTTTTGTTCTCATTACTGAAATTACGTAGACAAAGATAAACCCTATCAGTCTGATGTTTTGAAAACCTGAAAGCAGTGTCACTTATGGTGTGTCTTAAATTAAGTAGGTTTTCCTCTTCCTCCTTTTTTTTTTTTTTTCTGTTGTGGTAAAACCACCTCTACAGCTATATGGAAACTGAAGAGTCTGCAGCTTTAGCTCACACAGTCAAATGCATAGATTCTGTTGTACTAATTTAAAGTTAAGGTATTAATACAGTTAAAGTTTAGTTTATTTATATATCCTTTTTCCCCCCTCTCTGTTCACGGTGTATAATTTCATTCTAATATCATGTGTATTTTATTATTTGCATTCAGTTATTCCACTGCTGTTCCCAGTTGTTTCCTATTTTTAACATTGTAACTGTCTACCTTGTGCCACTGTGTCCCTCCCCCCCAACCCCCTACCCTCTTCATATCAGCTTTTCAAGGTTTGAGATTTCATTTTGCTTCTGTATCTCAAACAACATCAGAGCTATGGAGTCTTCTGTGTGTAAATTTTACTTCTTTTAATAAACTTCGTGAGTTTTATTAACAGCTTCAGATGATGATTAACCGAGTCCTCTGGATATAAGTGTGCACTGGGTACTAGAACTCTGTTTGTTCAAAGATACCTTAACTGAAAAATAAAATGTAAAGGAAGACCATATCCATAAGTATAAGCCAGAGGGGGAAGGGAGCGGAGTTATGGTTGAGCTTTCAGCCTTAATTCTGTATTTCAAGAGTTCTGAATGCTTGGTTTGTTAGCATTAGTGCTGCACTAACTTAGGGTATTTTTCCATGAGAGTGTGTGTGTTTAACCAACTAAGCATGAAATCCCTTGCTACTGTTTGTCCCTATTAAATAGTGGCAACAAAAGAAACAGACAGGAGATGGGTCCAGAACAAAGCAGAAATAATGGAGTATTTCACTCCAAAAAGGAGAGTGAAACGAGAAGTACAATGAGTAGGCAAAGACAGACTCAACAGCTGGAGGCAGTTTAATGTGTTGTAGAGAGTAGTAATTCAGGGACATTTGCTGCCCAGAGCTTCAATCTGTGATCTCCGAGCGAGCGGCACAGACATCAGAAGTGTTTGACCATCCCTGCTGTAAACACAATATGCTTTTCCCCAGAAGAACTCTCCATAGAGCTTTAAAGGAACACTGTCTAGGATTGTCAGCATAAATACTGATCAACCTAAAACGAGAGTTGTCTCTTTGGGTTAGAAATCCATAAGGTAGAGTAGAACTGACTAACTTCTTCCTTAACTCTTGCAAATAATTATACATGCACATGCAGTGTGTGCACACACTTAGAAGTGAAAGTCACAGTGGTTCTGAATATTGCACAAATTTCTGCACACTGCAGCACGTATTGCCCCCAATTTCTTGGATAAGTACATCCTCTTTTCAGAAACTGGCTAAATGCATACTTATTATAAAGATACGTTATTGTTTTATTTTCAGTACTTAAAAATACATTTGTTCATTAAAATACAAAATTAATATTAAAATTGTGAAAGCTTACATTTTGATATGTTACTCCCCTTATAGTAAGTAAGGTCTTACCCTGATAAAATGAAAAGGCTCAAAAAAAAGTTGTTTATTTTTTGTTGCTAACAGTGGGACTGGAATACATGGCCATATCCCAAACAACCTTTTAGTGACTGTACCAGCCAGTTCTGCTTGACCATATGTTTGCAGTAGTCCAGTGTTTTCTTTCTGTCTCCTCCAACACTTCCTCCAAGAGGCACTGTTTGGGTTCAGTTTGCTTTATAATACCTAGAAGGCAGGCTTTTATTGCCCATTGAGAAAATAGGGTTTGGGAATCAGTGGAAGAAACTTCCAAGTCCATATCTGACAAGTGTTTTGAGAGCAGTCAGACTGTTAGTTCAAGCTTCTCTTATGCCCTTTAGGTTGTCCAAATGGAGTAGAAAGTATACTCGTTTGGGAAAGAACTGAGCACTAGCAGTGGATTGAGCAAGTCTCTTAGTGGTTTTGATATATTTGTGTTTTGGAATTCTGGGATGGCTTCTTTAGTTACTACTACACATTTATTGCAGTTCTGTGGATTTCAGAGTGCCCTGTAATGCATCTTAAATAATGTGTAGCTCTTAGTCCATGATTATAAAATATTTCAGGATGCATTTCCTGTCCGTAATAAAATGCAGAATATAAGGTGTAATTTTATTTGCATATTCAATGACCTCTGAATTTTCTACTCTCCACAGATATTGTACAGCTACTAGATGCAACTGCCAAAGTTGTGACAATAGAGGTTTACTGTTCTGTAATGGAGTTCTGACTTTGTTAGGGGCCAGGTAACTTTAAGCTGCTGAGAGAACAGGAAGAGGGTGATCAGGCTGTTTGTATAGTGGTATTTCCAATAGGAGGGATGTTCATTGAGCTCGAGTAAGGAAGATTGCAGAACAAGTTTATAAAGTTCAAATATATTATTACAAGTATCCCCTACAATGTGCTGTAGAATTTCTCATGTCAGCCACTTCTAAGTGCTATACACAGTAGCTTAAGTTTCAGCAGCTTTTTGGAGCTAGAATATTAAAAGTTTGTTTTCATTACAGCTAAACCAATCTACTGAAGGAACTTAGCCTAGCACAAGGACAAAGTCACAAATATAACAAAGATAGGGGAATCATATAAAATAAAATATGAGAATTGTCCGGAGGGAGCCATTTACCTGGCTTCTGGAAATCTCAGAAATTTTCATACCTAACTGTGCTTACTGGTGAAGGATGTGTGAGTGGTGGGTCTACATGTGCTGGTTTGGATGTGCAATTTGACTTGGATTTTTGATCATATGCTTAATCCACAGCACATAAAGATTCTCCAGACTAAGTTAGACTTGAGGAATCTGCACTAAAGAGATACTGAAGTTTACAAAACCTGCCTGTGGAGCCCTTCTGTCACCCACAGAGCCTCCATATGTATTCTACAAATAGCATAAATTACCTTTCACAGAATTAGATGTTATTAGATGTTGTCAGGGCTGCAAGAGACATGTCTGGTTGCATAAGAACTGTCACAGTGTCTGGACAGAGAGAAGCACAGAATTCCGTCAGCTCATCTATTCCTTTATGATTTTCAATATGACATCAAGAGATTGTTGCAAAGATGCCATACTGACAGGGACAAATTGAATGCTTTTTAAAGACTGGCTGCAGAGGGTCTGACACACAGCCTCGGGAGCTCTGGCAAGCTTCGAAGAATTTTATGTGGCCTTCAGCCTGATATCCATTAAGTGAAAACTCTATTTAAAGGAGTTTATGTTGTGCAGTGAACTCAGTTGGCCTTTCTCACATAAGTGCTGGAGTGGAATATTTGCTGTAGCTTTGTAGAATCTGAGAGATAAATATAAACCAGTAAATAAATAGAACACCAATAAAGCTATAAGGCATGTTTACTCCTTTAAGCTGTGGACACGTAAGGGCAAATCTTCTTGAAAAAATAATTCTTGTATCAAATTTTAATAGACACAAAGCTATTATGTTTTAAAACCTCTTGCCCTTGTTCAGCTTAACTACTACTATAAAAATTTTAATTCTTCTAAAGAATTTTCTTTCACTTTTTTAAAAGGTGTTAAAGGAGTTTTGTAACTTTCACCAAACATATCTTTTCCTTCTTTAAAGCAATGAAAACTGTTTCAGCAGCATGTATAATAGCTTACCATCTATATGGAAAAAATCCAATTAAATTTCTGTGTTCTGTGAGCTGTCTTTTTATAATCACATTCTCACTGGATGATTTGCTCACAGGGTCAGACCCCACTATTTACATCAGTGCCTTACTGACATCAGTTCAGTTTCTCTGCTCCTACAGTAGTCCTCAGTGGGAGAAACTGGATAGTTACGAAGACAAACTAGGTTAAGGTTGTAAAGACCAGATCTCTTTTCCCAGTGCAGTGATTAGTTTGTGGTTAAGATGGAAATGGGGCTATGTAAAGACGGAATTTGTGAGAAAGGAGTGATTACATAAACGAGTTTTCCCTTCTCTGCTACAGCAGATGCCTTCCTCTGATATGAAGGTGGCATATGTTGGGGGAAAAGGTATTTATATATATTGGGCTGGTGGAGGTCTGTCTTAGACATTAGCAGGTAATTGTGCTTTATACATCAAATATGAACTTCCTAGCTTTCCCAGGCTGGTATGCTTTTAGATTTTTACATAAAAAGCTTCTATATTGCAATAAGGAAAGGTCTGAAGAACCTTACTGAGTGCCTAAGGGACCTTTTGGATGAGCTTGGCCAACTATGGTAAAACTGTTTAAGAGAAGTGAGCAGAATCCTGAAGTAGGCTCTGTGTAAGATATTTTTATTTCTTTATATCATGATTAATTTATACTTTTCCAGGGAAAGTGACAAATCTGCGTATTTTTTGCTAGAGCTATGTCCAGCAAGGTTTTTTTATGTATTTACAAGCCATACTTCTTTATGGCTGATATTGTAAGCTAAAATGCATGATAAAGCAAGCCCAGGAAGCACATTAGTGGAGCAAAGATTCCTGATTCTTTCCTATGACAACAGGTAAAGCCTTACCAGCAGTTGCTGAAGAATGACTCTGATATTCTCACCAGATATTGCATGAAATTAACACAGGAAGCAAACTAATGCATAACCAACTGCAGAGCTGACTGGGGCATGTGCCTATTTTGCTGTATGTGCACACTTTGTGCTATTTGGGAAATATTCCTCAAACCAGCTCTTTGAGGTTTAGGTGAAAATCTCACACATATATTTATGTTATTCTAGATTTTAGTTCAGGTTGTCTTGGGTCTATTAATTGTTGACTTTGTCAAAATAGCAAGTTGGAATAATAGTTTGCTTCTCTCCAATGCATTTATGTTTATAAACTTGAATTTAGAACATTGTTGAATAAGCATTTGAAAAAACCTAAAAAGGTAACCTCATCCTTTTGTTTTTGTTTTGTTTGTTTTGCCCTACCTTGGCAGTGTTTTAGAGCACTTTGCTGCAAGGGACCGCCACCACCACGACCTGAATATGACTTAGTTTGCATAGGCCTCTCTGGTTCTGGCAAGACAAGTCTTCTGTCTCAGCTTTGCAGTGAGAGCCTGGAGAATATCGTGTCTACCACAGGTAGGATGGTGTCTTTATTCCATGGTGTGCTGTAACATTTCCCAAAGGTAACTTTTGAAACATATAGCAAAGGTTGCAGAGAGCTTCAGCCTACTTATTTTACTGTTGAAAGTACCTAATGGATTGCTTTGAAGCTACCACTACTTACTCTTTCAGTGTTTGTTCATACATTGGGGAATATCCATGAAAACACACAACTTGGAATGTGTTAAAGATCCAAACAGTGTGGTGTAATGAAGCACTGTCCTGTAGACACATTACAGCATTTCTTTCTTCTCATTTTACTTTAGGCTTTTAAGCAGTCTTGTTATAGGGAGAGAAAAGAGGAGAATGTGCTGTAAAATAGAATAGGACAGTGATGCTTTGAAACTTAAACTGGGATTTATTTCTGCACATACTTGGTCTGTACTGCCTTATGGTGTATGCTAGCAACCAAAAGAATAAATGTGATAGAGAGAATTTGTTTCTAGTGATAATCCTTACTTTTTAGAGCAGCAACAGGTTTGTTTTGTAGTAAGGACAGATTGAGATCAGAGAATCAGTTTACAGAAAGTTTCAGTTGTATTGAGAAGGTACAGAAAAACAGGCAGCACAACCACAGATAAAAGGTATCTTAAGTCCAAAAAATTTTAATAGGCATCTTGATATAGGTGAACTTGAATGCCTAATACTGAAAAGGGTGTTTTGATTGAAAAACAATCCAAGAACAAAACAGCACCAGAAGAATCAGAAACAGGAATACCTGGCTGCAAAGTTCTGAAAGAGGAAAGATTAGGTCATAGGGATCAAAGAAATCTGGTTCAGTGGCTGCAGCAATTATTAAGGTTGATTTGCTGATGGAACAGATACTGAGTGTTGTGCAAGTAACTTGTGTTTACACTTGCATGGCTTTGTATTGTAGCTGTGGTCCATGGGCTTGAATTTTATGAATATGCCTTAGTAACCCTAACTGTTTTGTTAAATTTACAAGAACATAAGGTTATTTAATACAACTGTAAGTAAAATGTAAAACAGATACAAGAGAATACTGGGTTTCTCTTCTGATGAATAATTAACCTGTTGCCTACGTAGTGTTATTGGGAATGTTAGAGATCTGACACTTCATTGTGTGGAGAAGGTGTCAATGACTAACTCAAAAAGTTAGAGGGAAATTGTAGAGTAATTCAGTCTTGTCCCCCCCTCCCCTGACCTCTGCCACCATCTCCTGAACTTTATCTTTAGAATTTGCCTGGAATTAGAGCAAATTGTACTTTAAAACTTGAGACTCAGAAAGAAATAGTAAAAGCAATTTAAATAGAAGGATAGAGTTATCGAAGGAAATAGTGAAAATGCAATTAATTAAAAAATTATTTTTTTTCCAGATAGATGCAATAAAATACTATTATTTAATCAGGCAACTTGAGGAATGAAAAATTACTCTGGGGAATACTAAGCAGCATCTAAAGCAAAATGATGCCATATGGGATATTCAGCTTATAATAAATCTACTCGTGTATACCATATCTGTGCTACATCAGAGAATATTGTGGAGATTACAAGAATACAGTGTGACAGCTTCTCCACTCATATTTCAAACTATAACCTGTATTTTTGGTTTTCTCATCAATGCCACTCAGGTCCATTCCAGTTTTTCCTTCTTTCAAGGAAGAGTTTAAGATTTAAGACAACAAACCCAAAAATATTTCATAATTATTCCCTTCAGATTTTCTTGTACTTTCCTCTTCTGCATCTAGCACTGACCATAGCTGGAGTACTGGAATACCTTATTGATCTGATCTGGGAGAAAAAACATCTTGTTTCTGTTAAATGATAGCTAATAAACTTGAAGTGTAACACATTGATTCAAAAATTCTTTACTCAGTTCACAGGTATCTAATCATGTTGAAACAGTGTGTGCTAGATGGAAATAAATTAAATGTCTGGATATTTTATGCTGAAAGAGCAGACATGATTTTATAACAGTAACTCCTTACCAAATGATAGATGACCTGCGTGTAAGTTTTGTGCTTAATTTTATGTGTGCCAGCTACTTAATAGTAAAATTGAAAATTTCATTGCTTATACTGATCTATTCTCTTCCTCCCACCCTTCCCACCATGCCTTATAATTGACTTTTTAATAACACATTGAAATAGAATTTCACAAGCAAAATCCTGGTTCTTGATGGGAAAAGTCTTCTTTTCTGAATGTATGCAATAGATTTCAAATGGCCTCTTTAACAAATAACTTACTATTCCTCTTTATTTCTGTTCTTAGGTTTTAGTATAAAAGCGGTGCCATTCCAGAATGCCATCTTGAACGTAAAAGAACTTGGAGGTATGGCACTTATTCATTTGGTTATAAAAACATTCAGTGTCTAGATCCCATAATAACAGATAAGTTGTTTAAAATTGTTAGTTGTTTTAAATTTTAAAATGATTAATCAGTGCAGCTGGAATTAAAAATCTGTGTTTCATCACAGAAGATAAAGTTGAGAAAAGTTGTACAAATCCTGACCTCAAAGAACAAAGGGTAAAAAGCAGGAGGAGCAGAAGGCAGCCAAATGTGGTGTATCTCCTAATTGTATTCTCTTGGTTTGCAATGGTTAGGTTATACAGAAATACAAACTGGACTGAAACTGTAGTATGGCTGAAGTAGCAGCTCAAGGAACTGTGTTCCCTGTGTTTATTGTATGTATAAGCTTTTACTTATGAGCACGGGCCCTGGTAACTATATGAAGATTTGGCAAAACCAATATATTTACTGCACCACTGAATGTGTTGCAAAGGTAACCAACTTCTAATGAGTTATATTCTTTGGGAACTGTTCTTCTGTTGGATTTGTTGGATCTTGGAGCCATAGTTGTTTTATGGTTGTGAAGTTTCTTAATTTTATGTATACATGTAACTTGTTTAGCTGCCCAGTTCTGACTCTGAGTCTCAAGTGATCAAGAGGTAACTGTTAAAAAGAAGAAACACTCTCTTAATGAGAGTTCTTGTGAAGTCTAATGTTCTTCTAATTAAAAAAACCTCTTAGATACTTATATTCTAGAATTTCTTCTTTTTTTGTATCTTTTTTATTTATATAAATAGAGTAGAATGAATCTTGAGGATGTTTATTAGATTTTCAGCAAGCTTGGAACCTCTCTTAAGTAGAAATTAATTTGGTTCTTGAAGGAAGTTTCATGAGATCAAATTACATGACAGTTGTCTTATCTGAAACTGTTTCAAGAAGGCTTTAAGATAAGCACATATGGAAAGGATAGCAGTTCCTCTTTACTACCATTGGTCCGTGGATTGGAACATATTTATTTCTGTTTGAGCATGTATCCTGTAAAAAATAACCCAGTAAATAAAGGGACCACTTATCAGGAGTAGTGTTGATTCTGCTTGTGTGTGTTATCTGCATGATGTCACTTAGTCATAATGTCACTTTTTGGATTTTTTTTTAAAATATAGTGAATCATTTGCAGTCTAGTTTATACATTCTGCTGCCCAAACTGTATGAAATATGTAATTCATATAGGTAAATGCAGGTTTTGATCAAGAATTGAATCTATGTATCCTATAGCAGATTCTCATTAAAGGCTCTTTCTTAACCTTTTCTTTTATGCAGGTATGTGTGTTTTGAGAAATCTTAGTAGAGGGCTTTGACTCATGGCAAGATGTCCTGAAGTAATCCAGAATATTTAATCTGGGTTTTTTTAACAAGGATTGTTAGAATTTTTTACTGCATCTATTTATTTCTTTTTCCTTTAAATATGAGTGTTTATATGTCCATATTTAAAAATTATATAATCTGTTTTACCTATGAGATATTGCAGAAAAATGCTAATTCCAATAGATTTTCATTGTCTAGGTGCAAGGGAGCAAAGGCAAGCTTCCAAAAATTTGTTTTTCTTCCAAAAGTTGGCGGTCATTAGTGGCATTCCTTAGGGCTCATTATGGGTCCCAGTCCTGTTTAACATCTTTATTGGTGATACGGACAAGGGGATTGAGTGCACCCTCTGTGTTCTCAGATGACACAAAGTTGGGTGGGAACATTGTTCTGCTGGACCATAGAAAGGATCCAGAGGGATCAGGACAGGCTGGATTGATGGGCTGAGGCCAGTGGTATGAAGTTCACCAAGGCCAAATGCTGGGTCCTTCACTTTGGTCACAACAACCTCAGACAATGCTACAGGCTGAGGGCAGAGTGGCTGGAGAGCTGCCCAGCAGAAAAGTACCTGGAGGTGCTGGTTGGCAGTGGCTGAACATGAGCCAGCAGCATGCACAGGTGGCCAAGAAGGCCAATGACATCCTGGCCTGTATCACCCATAGTGTGGCCAGCAGGACCAGGGCAGTGACTCTCCCCCTGTACTGGTGAGGATGCACCTCGAGTTGGGTGTTCAGTTTAGTGTCCCTCATGTCAAGAAGGTGCTGGAGTGAGTTCAGAGAAGGACAACAGAACTGGTGAAGGATCTGGAGCACAAGTCCTATGAGGAGAGGCTGAGGAAGCTACGGCTGTTTAGCCTGGAGAAGAGGAGGCTCAGAGGAGACCTCATCACTCTCTACAACTCCCTGAAAGGAGGCTGTAGCCAGGTGGGGGTTGGTCTCTTCTCCCAGGCAACTAGTGACAGGACAAGAGGACATAGGCTCAAGCTGCACCAGGGGAAGCTCAATCTGGACATTGGGAAGAATTTCTGCATGGAAACGCTACTTAAACATTGGAATGGACTGCCTGGGGAGGTGGTGGAGTCAGCATCCAGGAATTGTTCAAGAAATGACTTGATGTGAAACTTAGTGCCATGGTCTAGTTGACAAGATGGTGATCAGTCAAAGATCGGATTTGATGATCTAACAGGTCTTTTCCAACCTAAATCATTCTGTTATTCTGTGGTCAGCATTCAACCTTTTAGCTGAGAAATGTGTTCCTGTTTGATGATTGTAAAGCCTGAGCTTTCTGGAGTATGCATGGTTTCTCTCTTGCTGCTCTATGAAAATAAAGCAAAACATTTTACATGTTTAATTGCTGTTAAATTTTATTTTGAAATTTCTAGTTCTGGTGTTGAAGAGAAGTCTATGTTTTTGTCTTATTCTTGATTTTTGTCTTCATTTGTTATGGTATTGTTATATCATTTCTCTTTACTGTAGTGTGGAGGTCTTGTCCAGATATTTGATCTTGGAAACTTGGAGGAAGGTAGAAAGGCGTGTGTTTTTACCAACCACTGTCTGCTGTTACATGTTATTTAGAGAGTGGAGTTCTATATAGTTCTAGTTTTTCATACTTTGTCTTTTTAGGTAACAGAAAGCTTCATATGTCATAATACAGTAACATATTAACAGCCAATATTTAAAACACAGCATAAGTCATACTGCTTATGGTTCTTACATTCAGCAGCCAAGCAGTTATGTGAAACAGATGCTGACTGTGTAGTATCCTTTCTGTTTGGCAGAAGTAGTATACTTCCTTGAGGGTGAAGATGGTGCTAGTTTTTACTATGCTGTGTGCCTCTGGAGCTGCTAATGAAGCCAGCTTTTATTTCTTCATTTCTGTAGGGGCTGTAAATTTTCAGGCAAAATATATAGAAAACAGTCTTGTTTTGCCTCTTCCTGGACTGATTAACTCTTCATCATCCTTTAAGATTTAGGAACATGTAAAAAAGTTTGTTGTACTCTCTTTGCAGAAGTTTTTGTTTGAATGATACTAGAATGTAGAAAACCGTATCCAATTTCAGATTTTTTAAATTGTATTTGTTTTTTAAGACAGGTTACCTTCCTACCAGAAATAAAGTTTTTATTCGATTTCATAAATGTTAAATGCTATGTTTAAAAACCTTGAATTTGATCCTGAAAAAGTAGGAATATGTACCGCTTTCAAATCTAGCATAGGCCTGCTTGAATTACTTGAAAAGGAAGTCCTGCCTTATTTGCTGACCAAGTTGAACTGCCTGTTCTCTAAGTTACTGCTTTGGTATACCACTAATCCCTTCCTGATTCCTGAAAAATTAAGAAAATTACTGCTTTTCCCTCCAAAATCTAGTCCATAAAATAATGTATGTAACTTAGATTACTGTGAAGATGTGCCATGCCCTAGTCCACATTCTTTCAGAATGTTCTATTACCAGGACAATTGAAAATATCTCTCTATATTGTGCAACTCAGCTTAGTAATGGTATAGAAAGAAGCTACAGTTTTGATTATTTCCTGTTAGGGTCCAGTAATCTCTGGTGGGAGCTAAGAGTGAAATTGTCTGTGATGAACATAACAGGAAAGTGTGAAAAGGCTGTAAAAATAAGGCCGATGATAACATTTGTTCGGAAGATTCAAGCAGTGTTTCGCTAAACAAAGTTTGGGATGCTGAATACTGAGGTTTCTTCTCAAGATAGATAATGGAAGGTATAATGGCAATAGAAAGCTTTTTCTTTGATTCTAGCAAATTCCAACCTGGAGACACAGTGGATGAAATCACCATTTATTCTGTGTTTTTTTTCAGTCACATGTTGTTGTAATGCTGTCAAAACAGAGTATGAAGTTGTGGTGTCTGTTGCGACAGAGATATTTATTCAGGACTATGTGAAGATTTCATGTCCATCCTGGAGGTCAACTAATAATTTCCAGTTCTTTTTTTAGAAGAAGTTATTTTATAATTTAGTTTGCTATCTTGTAAATGCAGGCTTAGAAACCACTGGTGAGATGCCAAATACTGAGCCACATCAAATTTAAAAGAATGATTCTGGATGTGAGAGCCCCTTTTCCTTCTTATGAAGTTTAAAAATACTAACAGCATGTTATAGGGTTTACTAATGTTTTCTGTTTTATTTACTAAAATATTTTCATATGTTTCTGTTAGTTTATGTAATACACCCAAAGGCCTTTTTCATAAGCATAGAGACTGAATGTTGTGTAGTCATATTTAAAAATTCATTTAAGACAAAAATGTGTTAAGTGCTTACCAAAACCAGAGTGGTTAATATCAGGAATGCTCTTGTCTCCAGTTGGTTGAGCATGACCAGGAAAAGAGAGATGAGAACTTGCCTCCCCACTGCTGTTACTTCTTAAGCTTCATGACCAAAGTCATAAATTCACATTCTTAGGCCAGCTAAATAATTGTCTAAGTGACAGCTTAAGAACAAATAGCTTTAAATGGGATTGATTAAACAAAGCATGCGTATTTTGCCTTAATTTGGAAGTAAAGAGTAGAAGAAAAGAGAGTAGGAGGAGAAGTCACACTGTTGTGCAGTCCAAATTGAAGGGAAAATATGAACCTCTGGAGAAGACAGCAACAGTTGTCAGGTAGTATTTGCCTTGTGAAAAAAATGAGGGAGGAAGGAGAAAATAATGTTGATCTATTAATTG